CACGTAGATAGATGAAAAGATAGGGGGTGGTACAATAGTAGATAGATGCTGTTACAGTGACCTTATTACAATTATATGCATGTGAGGATATACTTTTTTTAGTGTGGATATTTATTTATTTAATTTTGTGAGTGAATATTTTGTTATCATTTAGTTTTTGTAATAATAAGAGTTAAAAGCAGATGATTGTAGGGAGTTTTGGTAATAATTCATTGATGTTGAGACTGTCGAACGTCGCGTGCAATACATTGACGTCGATAATATAGAGATTTATGGAAGTGATAAAGATATTAATAATGTGAGACGAGCGGAAATAACAGACAGATAATAGCAAAAAAAAAAGAAAAAAAAGAGTAAAGTTGCAGGCCAAGGAAAAGTTCGGCGTGAAGTTAACTACCGTAGATGTGATAGGCCTAACGATCGCCATAGGCCTAACGTTTAATAAGACTAATAGTAGAAGAGGGGATAAGAAAAATAATTTATTCCGTCAAAGCGTGGTTCTAAAGTAACTGAATCAGCCTGAGCGTGCCACAATTGTAAATGAATCACACACATAACACTAGTGTCGATAGTAATAGAGACGATAGTTCGACTTGTCAACTGAAATTCTAAAGTAATTGTATAGGCCTAAGTGGACCTTTGACAAGAAGAAAACTATATATATAGTGTTTTTGATATGCCTATAATCTCTATAGTGTGAATAATTTGTTGTACATACGTTTAACTTGTTCCGAATATATGATATTATTTTGAAAGCGAGTGAAGTGTATGCTGTTCATTTATCGTTGACTTTATCACTGACAAGTCACAGACATCTAGTGTAGAAGACTCCTAAGCCCAACTACAACATGGTATGTATTTATACCATTAAGAAACATAAGTAAAAAGCCTTTTATATGGACAATTGGAGTAACAAAAATGAAGAATTATATAGATTTTAAATTCTGACAATGCACCACAGACTTTTGTTACCCCTTTTTGGTAGAAGAGCTGTATGCATTTACGAAACTACGTGACTAGAAAATTAAATTTTCTTGAAATCCAAGGGTAAGCTTAAGTTTTGTAAATCATTCATTCATTTGGAATGCTTCGCTTCCTAAATATATAAACCTACATCGGTCCATACTGGTCGTTAGTGTTCTTTTTTTTTTTTTT